GCAAAAGTGTAAAGAGATGGAAATACAGAATAAAGTTCGATAATCAGTCCAGAAGATTCAATCAACTCAAATAATAGAGCGGCAGAAAGAAAGAAATCATCAAAAAATAATTCAGAGATGTGTTACATATATACAGTGGACTACTACTCAGCCATAAAAAAAGAATGAAATAATGCCATTTGCAGCAACATGGATGGACTTAGAGATTATCATACTACCTGAAGGAAGTCAGAAAGAGAAAGACAAATACCATATGATTATCACTTATATGTGGAATCTAAAGTATGACACAAATGAACCTATCTATGAAACAGAAACAGACTCATGGACATAGAGAATAGACTTGTGGGTGCCAAGAGGGAGGGGGTTGGGGGAGGGGTGGAGTGGGAGGTTGGGGTTAACACATGTAAGCTATTATATATGGAACGGATAAACAACAAGGTCCTACTGTATAGCACAGAGAATTATATTCAATATCCTGTGATAAACCATAATGGAAAAGAATACATTATAAAAAGAATGTGTGTATATGTATATATATACATACATATATATATACATACACACACATATCTGAATCACCTTGTTGTACAGCAGAAATTAACACATTGTAAATCAACTATACTTCAATAAAAAAATATTTTTGAATTTATAATTGTACTTCCAAACTTTAAATAATAATAATAATAATAATTCAGAAAAATTTCCCAGAACTTGGTTACCAGCTTGAAAGGGCCCAATATAATGAATTAAAACAGAACCAAATCATGGCAAATCATCATGAAATTTTAAAACACTGGAGACAGAGAGAATCTTCCATTTCCAGAAGGAGAGAAAAAAAGAACAACAACAACAAAAAGTCACAGAAAGAATCAGGAACCAGTATGACTTCAGACTGTTTAACAACGATAGTAGAAGCTACTGCAGAAGACAATGAAGTAATACAAAATTCTGAAGGAAAATAATTTATAGCTTAGAATTTTTATACCCAACCAAACTACCAATCAAATGTGAGAGTAAAAGAAAAAAGACATTTCCAGACATCTATGTTTCAAAACTTACTTCCAGTGCCCTTTCTCAGGATGCTTCTAGAGAACGTACTCTACCAAAATGATGGAATAAACCAAGAGGAAGTTATGGAATACAGAAAACAGAAGATTCAGTTCAAGGGAAATAAATGGAATCTAAGAAGATAGCTATTCAACAGGCATAGCAGGGCAACCAGTCCAGGTTGGATCAGGTAGGAAGGCTCAAGAAAATGAAATTAACAGAATATTTGATGAAAATAAATATCTGGAGATGAGAGGACAATGTAAGTTTGAGTTAACGATAAGTACACAACATAAATAGTATATATACACATATATATATAAATGTGTATATATTGTGTATATATACACATTATATTTATATATATACACATATGTATATAATGTGTATATAATGTGTATATATGTGTATATATACACACATATATATAAATGTGTATATATAATATATATAAATGGATGAATGCTAAGAACATATTTAGAAAGATAATAATTAACTACAAGGAATGAAGTAAATTATGCAAAAAGAAAAAAAAGGAAGTTATATCCACCTGAACAAAAGCTGAGTTCAAAACGCATCATAAAGCACCTTTTCTCCAGAAAGGCCATGGCTTGCTGGGAAAGATACATACAGGAAGCTGCACTGTTTGTATAAATGTGCAGCCTAGAATTAATTTACAGCCTAGAATTGACCTAGAGTCACTTAATAGTACATTCTAATAAAAGAGCAAAAATTAACATTTTCAATAGAATTTCTGAATAATAATGTCTTGTAATTACTGTAATTTGATAAGCAAAAAAGGGGATTGATGGTTCACGTTCAGGTATGATATAAAGTTTAAGTCAGCAACAGAAGCAAGGTGAAAACCAGAAGTGCTTGCAATCAAGTCCTAAGTGCCCATGGCAGGTTGCTCCCAAACTTCTTAAGCAAAATGACTCAATGGAGCTGCAAGAAAGCTGAGGATAAGGGTAAAACAGTTGCTCCTGGAGTCTCTCATGTTCAACCCCATTTCTGGCAGCAACCTTCTCTGTGGAAGAGCTTAAGAACACATGCCCAAGTGCAGAGGCAGGTCATCACAGGACTGGAAGAACCCCAGCCTAAGCTCCATACTGAACACATGGCTTTGGGCTTCTACCAGTCTAGCTATGAAACTATTCTTGCCTATAAAATTCTGGAAACACTCTCCTTTCAACATTTACTAAGTGCTATAATCCTTTAAATGTATTCACCACCCTTAGCACTTATGTATCATTTTCTTACAAAACAGTTATTGAGCAGTTAATATGAATTCCTATGACTACCACTATTTTCTAAGATTTAAATTTGAAGTCTTACTATCAAAAGAAATGCTTATTTTATTTATGAGTCGGCCCACTTGGTATCCTCTATTATTATCATCATAAAAATAACCTATTTGTGCCTATTTCACAACACTTTCCACAGAGCCAGATGGCCTAGGCCTACCACTTCCACAACATCAAAACCGTGTTCCTTACCATTTTCTGAATTTCACATAATTGGCACAATCTGTACCCAGGATATCACTCACCATTTGGTGCATACAGCAGAAGCTTATTTAGAGTAATCTAATGATAAAGAACAGACATGTGTTTGATGGTATGTTCCAAGAGCCAGCTAACTAATCTATAAAAATTTGCTTTAAAGCATTCAGACTTCCTAAAGTTGGTCTGTTACCAAATCATTTCTAATCTTCGCTTTTCAAATCAATCTTTAGGCACATTCTTGTGTAAACACTGAAACAGCAACAAGGAACAGCTTCTGAGTGAGTCACAAGTTCCTTTAGTATAGTTTGAAACTCTAAAAAGTCATTCCTACTCTGCCTGTTAGTTACTTTTAAAAGGATCATATTCCATCATATGTGGAATCTAAAAACAAAAACAAAAACAGAAAACCCAAATTCATAGATAACAGAGCACACATTAGTGGTTGCAGGGGGTGGTTGTGTGGGCAAAATGAGTGAAGATGGTCAAAAAGTATTTGTAAGTTGCTAAAAGAGTAGATCTTAAAAGTTCTCATCATGAGAAAACAAAAAAAACTTTGTAAGTATGCAATGGTAAAGGATGTTAACCAGACTTACTGTGGTGATCATTCTGCAATATATATATATATATATATATATATATATATACACATCGAATCCTTATGTTATATATTGATACCTGAAACTAAAATAACGTTGTTTATCAATTATACCTCAATTTAAAAAAGAACTAGATTCTGACATTTACCAGAGTTTTAAAACTTTTATAAGTACACAAACTTTATGAAATGCAAATATTAAAGTACAGTTTAAAGAGAGGCAGGAAGGCATAATAGAAATCACAGCATCCATTTTGATGCCATGGATAGTTTGATTCAGCTCTTCTGATTAGCAATTGATAATTTTTTCAGCTTTGCTCCTATTTTCTTTTGAGAAAAACAAAAACCTCTAACATCTGTCAGTGAATCCTTTCAAGTAGTGAAGGCAATGTGTTTGAAGATCTGTTGCTTGATGAACGGTTATAAGCCCTGATTGTCAGCCACCGGGTCAAGGTCGAAAACAAAATAACAAATGGTCTGACATCCATTCTGTGACCTCAAAAGAGTCAACCGTAAGACTTTCAACTACCAGGGCAGCCTCTACTATTGGCAGCAAAACAACAACACAGTGCACCAAGCAACGGTACAACAGATGCCACAAACCCCATAACCAATGCACACATTTTTTCCCTAGGGATTGGTATTTCCCAATTTCAACTTGTTCTTTCTTTTCAAATGTAGCCGAAGCATATGGAACAGTTACGTAAGTCCTCTTGGGCACTGCAAGTATTCTTGGAAGCAGTAGTTATTATTCTAGTAAAACTTTGTGGGGGAAAAGGCCTAAAAAAAGTAAAGACTCGTGAAAAATTGGTCACAACTAAAGTTTGGGCACATAAAAAAAGTTCTACAATAAAATTATTAAATTGGCAAGGGTTTACATTTGGGCAAAAAATAAAATTTGCTTATGTAGGGACAACCAGGGAAAAAAATGCAATGGTATTCAAAACTGCTACTACATCAAAAATGGTAAGGTCCAAAAATGTAAGCCACTAAAACCCAATCAAGGACCCTCATTTAAATATGAATTCTGTCACTTAGTAACAAGTTACTAACCCTCTTCTTAGCATCATCATTTAGTCAAGGTAATGCAAGCTGTTGTAGCATTATATAAAGACAGCAATATACATAATTTCCCACCAGTAAGAAGGTGCTAAACCTTCTCAACCTCACCAAGTTTTTTTTTTTTACAAGGAACAAAGAGTCTCATGTATGTGAGTGACTTCTGCAGTAGGTAAGACACTATAAAAAGTTTATTAACAACTATAAATATAACTAATTGATAATTTTTTAAAATTTTAGGCATATTTTGAAGATAAAGCAAATTATTTCTCTAACAAACCTCACTTGTTACTGTTATGACTTAAAATGTAAAGCTTAAGTGATGAAAATCAAAGGAATGCTTTTTACTTACACTCAATATCCAAACTTGTCTGCATATTAATACCACCACAAATATTTTACTAGCAGATTTCTCCTCCAGTTAAGTCAAATAAGAAGTTGTTCTGAGGTCAAAAGAAATAAGGCATCTCTTTCTAAAAGTAGATGGTCTAAGTAAATTTCCTATTTTGATGATGGTCCATACTTTGAGGTTGAAACAGGAGAACATCCTGTATTATAACAGAAGGGCCTCTATGTATTGCTATAGTTAACAAAAGTGGGCAAACTTTACTATTTACAATGCAAAAATTGGAATAATCTCAGTTTGTGCAATTAAAATCTCTAAGGATTCTCTCATGTTATCTGCAAGATTTTACAAAATAAAATAAAAATAAAGCTCTGAGATGTTTCCCATTAGCACCTGGTGTCCTCACATTATCAGTTTTAAAAGATTCGATTTCTATCACACTTACTTTTTTGTGATAAATGCTACAGAGTCCTCTTTCGATGTCAGGCAATTTACGTAGATGATTTTCTATCTGGCCAAACACACTGGATTCTGAATGGAGAACTTCAGATACAGCATCAAGTCGAGCATTTATCTCCCTGTGAGAACAGAGTAATGGCAATTATCAGATATGTTAGGAACTCAGACTGCAGACATTTCCCACTCTAATGCCCAGCACTGTGAGAGCAGCCACTTAGAAAAAAACAAAGGAGACTCTTCCTCCATACCTCTGGCCCTTCTCTGCCCCTTATCATCGAAATCGAAGAGCAGGTACCACACAAGGAAAGTCATTAACTAGATGGCTAGTCATTAACTAGCCAGCAGAGACTGGCTCCTTAAGTTTTCCTTCCTCCAGAGCAAACAAACTGACTACACTTCCCAGCCTCCGCTGCAGTGAGGTATGGCCGTGTACCCAAGTTCTAGACAGTGAAATGTGGGTAGGAATGATTACACCACTTTTAGC